CTGTGCCTTGGCATGGGCTCCTTGGCACATATTGGGGGCTGTGCCTTGGCATGGGCTCCTTGGCACATATTGGGGGCTGTGCCTTGGCATGGGCTTTCTTTGGCTGGGCGCCCCTGCAGAAGTGTTCACTCCTCTCCCACCTCAGGTTCCCCTCCTGTTAACGGGCTCAGGGTACCTGCCTCCTTCACAGGGTTGTGGTGAGGATCAAGGTCAGAGCGTATATAAAGCTATGGAACTGGACCACGTCACCACAGTAGGTGCAGACGTGAGCCAGGAGGGGGGTGTGGGTACAGACACAAGCCTGTAGCCTGAACACAGGTGTGGTGGGTGCAGACAGGAGCCTGGGCAGTCAAGCATGGAGAGGTCATGGGTTTGGGAGGGATGAGCAGAAATCTGAGGAGGAGGCATCTGGAAGAGGAAGGGGAAACAGAGCCCACAGTGTCCTGGAAGCCAAGTAAAGGGAAGATTTCACACAGAAGTGCCTTGTTGGAATCATATAAACATAAACAAAACAAAACTCACTGCCGTCGAGTCGGTCCCGACTCATAGCGACCCCTCCTTGGGTTTCCGAGGCGGTATCACTACGGAAGTAGATTGCCCCATCTTCCTTCCGAGGAGTGGCTGGTGGGTTTGAACCGCCAGCCCTCTGGTTAGCAGTCAAATGCCTTAGGCACTGCGCCACCACAGTTCCTCATAGCAACATAAGTTCTACCTTATTAATTATACTGCAGTTTTCTTTTACAAAGAACCCTTAATATCTCATTAAGCTTCGCAGCCATGTTTAAGTGATTATTCTGACATAATACAATTTTCTGTAAGGTCTTCTTTGACTTGTCGGTGCCTTTTTTGCTCACCTATAAGATGGGAAAGACATCACACCTGTGTCCTCAGGACTGTCACGAGGACGGGGGTGGGGCGGGGGGACAACACTTGTGAGGAGGTAGTCGAGGCTCAGTGCTATAATTCCCCACTTCCACGAGGGAGACTGTGGAGGGCCACCGAAAAGGGGAAGACCCTCAATGAGGTGGATCGACTCAATGGCTGCAGTGATGGGCTCCTGCATAGTAACAGCTGTGAGGACAGTGCAGGACTGAACCACTGACGTCCCCGTTTCCATATAACACCCAGGGTCCTTGGATTAATTATTCCTTCCAGAGCTTGTCATCCTGACTCTTTTTAATAACAAAACAATGTTTCACTGTGTTGTAAATGGGTCCTGATGACGTGGAGCTGACCTGACCACCCCTAACCTAACAGCATGTAGGAAGCTGAAGTTCAATTCCCAGCCAACGCACCTCCTATGCATGTGACCACCACCCTCTGTCTCTGGAGACCGCGTTCTGCTAGGATGCTGAACAAGTATCAGTGGAGCTTCCAGGCAAACACAGACCAGGAATCAACTTCCAGACAATCAGCCAGTGAAAACCCTATGAATCATGGAACACAACAGTGGACGTGCAGCCGACCGTGGGGATGGGGGAGGGCCAGGCAGTGCTTTGTTCCCTTGGGCACGGGGTCCCCACGACTGGGGCCAGCTCAAGGCAGCCAGCAACAGTAGCAAGTCCTGGTGGAGAACTCTGCAGCCACCCAGCCGGACACAGAGCCTCGAACGACAGCACACTGCTTGTGACTTCAGCACTAGAGCAGCTTATGAACCATGTCTCCTCCCCAAGCCTGTCTTTGCAAACCCGTGACCTGCGCACAGCAGTCTGAACTGAGCCGGCCCACACCCAGCGGTGCCCTCTCGAGAGTCCAGATGTGGGCGATGTCAATTTCTACCTTCTCCTCAGCTGCACTTGCTGAAATTCTTCCACATTGTTAATAAGATGAGAACAGAAATGGCTGCAAAAGATCACCGGCCCAGGAAAGGCCCACTCAACGTCCCCACGTCCTCGGATTAATTATTCCTTCCAGAGCTTGTCACCCTGACTCTTTAAAAACAAAATATTATGCAAATATGGTCTAATCATTTTGTTCTGGCAGCAACTCCCAGCTGTGCTGCTGTCCCCTGACCCCGTGGCTGTCCCTTGACCCCGTACCCACTCTGCTACCAACCCTCTCCATGGAGCAAATTCACCATTAAAATTAAAGGGCATTAAAACCTCACAGCAACTAAGAAGGCTGGAATGTCCAGGGAGACCCCACCTTCCCAGCCCGGTTCACATCAACATGCATATCGGGACCCCTCTCTGGGGTGAGATATGGCCTCAATGCCAAAACCCACACAGGAACTGCCAACAGCTTAACATGATTGTCTGGGGGGCATGAGAGATGGGGACCCTCACCAAGCACATGGCCCAGTGGGTTATCCCCCTGACTCAGCAGCTATAGACAGGGGCTTGGAGAGGCAGTTAAAGTCAGGGTAGCAGAGGACAGAGCCAGGGTGCAAATAAGATCTTGAGAAGCTTGGAAGAAGTTCGGAGACCGATGCCCTGTGGGTGTAGGAGGCAGGGTGGTCCTTGGGCAGAAGTGAATGCACAGGGGGGCACAAGGTGGAGAGCTGGCATGGATACCCCCACATTGGAGGCATCCCATGTCCCCAGTGGATGGGGGCCAGGTCAGAACCAGACCAGACGCAGCCTTGGAGGGAGGCAACTGGGAGGCCAGCCAGAGGCAGGGCATCCAGGCCAGCACCCGTGGCCAGCTCCCCAGAAGTCCCTGTGCATCACAGGAGGCTCGGTGGCTCCCCTACAAAGCTCACCCTTTGCCCCCTTCTCTCGGCCTCTACAGCTGCCACCCTGCTGACAGGCATTCTGCACACAGGCGGACTCCCTACATACTGACAAATGCCCCACATGC